AAACGGAAGGCGTCTGGGAGGTGAAGATTGATTTACGCCACGATTTGCAGCTAGACGATCGTCCACAGTCGAGGGACTTCCTCAATGGTGTACAAAATATGCGCCTGCAGGCTGTCTTTATAGATCCGCGAGGTGAACGCATTCAAACTGAGTTATTGCTCGTCGCACACTATTCACCGCGCAATCAACACATCAAGATCACCACTAGCACGGAGCAGCCGGTTGTGGGAGAGTACATCATCTTCCATATACGCACCAACTTCCACTTGGAGGAATTCAACTACCTCATCATGTCCAAGGGTGTTATCCTGATCAATGATCGAGAAACCATTATCGAGGGTATACGCACCATTGCGGTGGTGCTCAGCGCTGAGATGGCTCCAGTGGCAACTTTGGTGGTCTGGAAGATCACCCAGCAGGGTCAAGTGGTGGCCGACTCTCTAACCTTCCCCGTCAACGGAATTTCTCGCAACAATTTCACGGTCTACATTAACAATCGTAAGGCACGTACGGGCGAGAAAGTTGAGGTGGCCATCTTTGGTGAACCGGGCTCCTATGTGGGTCTCTCTGGCATCGATAGCGCCTTCTACACCATGCAGGCGGGCAACGAGCTGACCTATGCAAAAATTATCACCAAAATGTCCAATTTCGATGAGCAAACGAATGGCACTTACAAACGCATTTGGTACTCCCACGAAGGCAATCCCGATGAGCTTGTCTATTTCCCAGCCTCTTCGTTCGGCATCGATGCGAATCGCACGTTCGAGTACAATGGATTGATTGTCTTCACGGACGGTTATGTGCCACGCCGGCAGGAGAGTTGCAATCGCACCTTGGGCTATGGTGAGTGCCTGAGCGGACGTTGCTATCGCCTAGAGAAACATTGCGATGGCCTATTCGACTGCGACGATGGCACGGACGAGATCGGCTGTCGAGTGCAAAATGATACGGAACTCTTGAACTATCGCAAATATCGCTTTAATCGCGTGCTGCGGCACTACGAGAACGTTTGGCTGTGGAAGGATGTGAACATAGGTCCGCATGGTCGTTATATATTTAATGTGGATGTGCCGGATCGTCCCGCCTATTGGATGGTCAGCGCTTTCAGCGTCAGTCCATCCAAGGGCTTTGGCATGCTGAATCGCGCGCTGGAATATGTTGGCGTGCAGCCGTTCTTCATAAATGTGGAGATGCCAACGGTATGTCGCCAGGGCGAACAGGTGGGCATCCGTGTCACGGTCTTCAACTACATGACAACGGCCATTGAGGCGACGGTTGTGCTGCATGGCAGTCCGGATTACAAATTTGTCCATGTGGAAGAGGATGGCATTGTGCGCAGTTATAATCCGAGAACGAGTTTCGGTGAGCATCAGTTCTTCATCTATTTGGATGCTCAGGGCACGACGGTGGTTTATGTGCCGGTGGTGCCGCAGCGACTGGGCGACGTGGATGTCACACTTCACGTGGCGACACTGCTGGGCACGGATACGATTACCCGTACACTGCACGTCGAATCCGACGGCTTGCCGCAATATCGCCATCAATCGGTTCTGCTGGATCTCTCCAATCGCGCCTATGTGCTGGAGTACATGCACGTGAATGTGACCCAGACACCGGAGATACCTTACCAGGTGGATCGGTATTTTGTCTATGGCTCGAATCGGGCGCGAATCTCTGTCGTCGGTGATGTGGTTGGACCCATATTCCCCACAATGCCCGTGAACGCCAGCTCGCTGCTGTATCTGCCAATGGAGTCGGCCGAGCAGAACGCGTTCAGCTTTGCTGCGAATCTCTATACAATTATGTACATGCGTCTGATCAACCAGCGCAACAAGACGCTGGAGAGGAATGCCTTCTATCACATGAACATTGGCTACCAGCGACAATTGAGCTTCATGCGTCCTGACGGCAGCTTCTCGCTGTTCCGCTCCGATTGGAATAATTCGGCATCGTCGGTGTGGTTGACCAGCTACTGTTTGCGCATCTTCCAGGAAGCCTCGTTCTACGAGTGGGAGAACTTCATTTGGATCGATGCCACAATTATTGAGAAGAACATGCGCTGGCTGCTGCAGCATCAGACGCCGGAGGGCGCTTTCTATGAGGTCACCTGGCTGCCGGATCGCAAAATAAATCGTACAAACTTTGCCAGCTACACAAGTCTACGGAATCGTAATATCACCTTGACCTCCCATGTACTGATCACGCTGGCCACCGTCAAGGATCTGTCCGGAACGCTTGGTTCACGTGTGGCTTTAGCTACACAGCGAGCCGTTGCCTGGATTGAACGAAATATGCAATTCCTGAAAGAAACGCCGGAGCCCTATGATGTCGCAATCACGGCGTACGCTTTGCAGCTCTGTAATTCACCGATAGCAGAGCATGTGTTTAGCATATTGCGGCGTCATGCACGTACCATTGGGGACTTTATGTATTGGGGCAATCAGGAGTTGCCACAGCCGCCACGTAAGCTGGAGAATCAAAAGTGGTTCTCATTGCCGCGACTGCCGTATGAATACGATTCGCTGAATATCGAGACGACGGCATACGCATTGTTGGTCTATGTGGCACGTCGCGAATTCTTTGTGGAACCCATTGTGAGATGGTTGAATGCACAGCGTCTGAATGAAGGCGGTTGGGCATCCACGCAGGACACGAGCACAGCCTTGCGTGCCTTGGTCGAGTATACCGTACGTTCACGTATCCGTGATGTGTCCTCGTTGAGTGTGGAGATTGAAGCATCCTCACAGGGCGGCAAGACCCAGGAGTTGCGCATTGATGATACCAATTTGGCCAGGTTGCAGAGCATTGAGGTGGGTTGCACTGATCTAGATAGATAGTTAAAGGAAGTATGATAATAATAATTCTCTATTCAAACAGATACCAGATGCTTGGGGCACTATTAAGGTGCAGGCCAAGGGCGCTGGCTATGCTATACTGCAGATGCACGTTCAATACAATGTGGATATAGCCAAATTCCAAACGAAACCGCCGGTTCCAGCCTTTGGATTACATACGAATGCCATATTCCATGGCAGAAATCAGTCGCACATCTCCTACGTCGCCTGTCAAAAGTAAGTTCAATAATTTAACACGCTCTGAACTGATTTAATAATCTGTGTGTATCATTCCAGCTGGATAAACACCAAGGAATCGGAACGTTCGGGTATGGCTGTGCTGGATGTGGCCATACCCACGGGCTACTGGATACAGCAGCAGAAGCTGGATAGCTATGTACTGAGCAATCGTGTGCGCAATTTGCGACGGGCAAAATACTTGGAACGCAAGATTGTCTTCTATTTTGATTATGTAAGTGTTGAGCTTTTATATATATTTTCATACTTTTATTCTCAAAGGGAAAAGGAGTACATTCGTTCTTAGGTGTTTTACTTTACATTGGCTAAAATCTCATTTATCCAATAATTTATCCATAATTATTTTATTATATCTATAGCTGGATCAGGAGGACATTTGCGTTAACTTTACCGTAGAGCGCTGGTATCCAGTGGCCAATATGTCGCGATACCTGCCCGTGCGCATCTATGACTACTATGCACCAGGTGAGAAATTAGACTCAATATTATAACTATATATATTTAATAACTATACCTTTCTATTACTCCCATACAGAGCGCTTCAACGAGTCCATCTTCGATGCTTTGCCCACATATCTGCTAAATATTTGCGAGGTGTGCGGCAGTTCGCAGTGCCCCTACTGTTCCATCTATAATATGGGCTGGCGTTCGTCGATGTCGCTCTCGCTATTGTTCTTTAGCGTATTTATTTATCTGCTGCGCAGTCGTACGCATCTAGTTCTTCAAGCTCTCCATCTATTCACCTAGAAGAGGCCAATCCATCCATCCATACATCCTTGCAGTCGCCCACCCATGTCTAACAACCAAACACAAGTTATGTTTAGCTTATTAGCTTTGAATTCGAATGAGTGTTGAGTTTTTATAGTTGGATCTATTATTTCTTTTATGTTTTTTTTTTTTTTAATTTTATTCTTTACGAAATTGCATTCCGTCCAGACGTTTATCTTATGTTCAACTGCTAGCAATTTATTATTATTTTGTAATCAACGTTTTAATCGTAATCTCGATATATGTACAAAAGGAAAAAAATATCGCATCCAAATGGACAAATTGTGTTTGTAATTTGACCAATCACAGAATGAAATATCAAATTTTATGTACACAATCCATTAACTTATATATAGTTATATATATAGTAATATTGTAAGCTGTATCAATTGGATCACGAAAAGAATCTCTTTGCCTTATCGACAACCGCTTTAAAAGCCGCTTTAAATGAAAGCTTAAAAGTCAAGTGAAAAAGAAAAACATGTAACAAGAATGTGTCTTTTATATATCACAAATTGCCTTTACTAGATTTTAGAAATCGATAGTTTATATATACAACCTTTATATTTTTGAATACTGCATGCATATCAAGTTTTCTATTTACATATTTAAAATGAACAATTTATTTGTAAAAGCTAATGGATTATGATTAGAGTTGAAAGTGACCGTCCAATACATTTATGTTTGAAATAATGCAACAAAATGAATCTAATTAGTGATTAAGTTTAATACGTATTTGTATTTTTGACAAAAACAGTTTAGATATTGCTCTTGTATATTATATACGAACTATATATATAAAGCCATGTACTCTCAAATCAAGAACTCCGTCCCTCCATTTATGGTAAGAGAAGTGAAATGAAATGAAACTATAAAGTGAAATATTTTTTTGTATTTTACGTTTTCTATGTAACGACAAAATAAATATAACAAATAAAATTAACGAGCATTTTGAATTTGATTGATTAGCGCGGAATATTTACTGGCTATGGAGAGACGAATACAAGATGTAAATAAATTGAACAAAATAAAGTGTGGCCACACTGCCTGCGCACATAGCACCGCAGGCGACAGCAATTAAAATAAGTGTGGTCACATTGGTCTGTGTTTATGTTTATACACAACGCATTTCTATTCTGTATAAATAGTTAAATACCATATATTAAATTGTTCGATAAATGCTACAATTATTAAAAGTAACTTAGGATACATAAATGAATATAGGCTCTACGTTTTGCGAAAACTGAGCAAAATTGGGGATATGGCTTCTAGGCAGTCCATGATATCCTTTCTTGACTTAGCGCCAGTAAACACAATTTTGCCATTGACAAAGATGAGCAGGACAATGCGTGGCTTAACCATGCGGTAAATGAGGCCCGGAAACATTTCCGGCTCATACGAGCTAAATTGGCCATGCACCTGATTTAGGTTCTCCAAACGAATGGGAAAACGCAAATCGACAGTGGCAACAATATTCTGCAGCTTATAATCGACAAATTTAACTGGGAAACCCAATTTCTGTAGAATACGTGCAAATTTCCGGGATCCGATGTTCGCCTCGGTTTCGTTGCGGGCACCTGTGCAAATCACCTTACCGGTGCGAAAGATCAGAGCGGTACAACGAGGTGAATGCATTCGCATAATGACTCCTCTAAAGCGTTTGGGCGTGTATTCCGAGTTGCGAGTGCGCGAATTGATGGTTTTCAAATCTAGCTCACAGTCTACGGAAAAGGTAGCCACGATGTTTCTACAAATAAATAGTTAGCTCATTCCATTAACAGTTATATTGGCAAAGACTTACTGCAATTTAATTTCATGTTGGGCATCTTTGGACTCAGTCAGCACAGCCGGCTGTTGCGGCTGTAATGCATTATGTGGATTAGTAGTATTAGGGACGCCCGTAGCATTCGGTTCTGGCTCTGCAATTTTGAAATGAAATTGCATTTTTTTTTAAATTCAATTCAACAAAGTGAAATGTAGTCGCAAGCAATTCAGCGCTAATCAAAAACACGCGTTGCATTGAACAGTGTTGTCCTATCAATAGAAAGCCGAAAAATTGTCAAATGTCAATTCTGTCATTTTAGACAATAACACAGTATGCGTAGCCTATTTATTTTGTAGGTTATATCATACCTATATTATTTGTACGCGTTATGATTTTTATCTAATGTACTTACATAAATTTAACATTTAATTTTTGTGGAAATTTGCAAATCTGTTAGCCAACACTTATCTATCAGCTGTGCACGAAAGGTGTGTCACACACAAGTCTCCAAAAATTATACGTCTTCCATTTTCGTTATATACGTAAACAAAGAATACGCCACAACAAAAGTACCGCTAAACACGCACCAAAGCAAGCGCACCGCTGACAGTTGCAAAAGCAATCGAACTTTAGCAAGAAGAAGAAGACGACGACGAGAAAAGAAAAAAAAGGGACGTCAGAGTTAAAAAAATGTCGGCGCACAGCGGAGGTACGGATTGGAACTCGGTTGTAAAACCACTTTTATCAAACCGTACAAGCGCTTTGAACAAAAATGAAATATCAAATTTATTAAAGGCAATTACCAAATGGTGAGTACATATAGAATTAATCTCTAAAAACAACATTTGATGGCCAAATGGCGCAGTTGAAAATTTGTCTGCAAGGTGACTTGCAAATTAAATATGGCGACCCATTATGACGAAACTTTTGTAAGTTTGCAAACAAATGCAATATATATTTTCAACTTATTTTTTTGCAGTGAACATGAGTTTTTCGATGATGAAAGTAATTATACACAATTCTACACAGCATTTGCGGCTCTGGCAGCCGACAAGCTAATGCAAATTAAGTCGAGTAAGTATCGCCCCTTCGTGCCTTGCTTTCTGTAATGATTTTTTGTACTGTTCGGCCTGCAACAAAAGAGAATTTGCTAGAGAAAATGCAATAATATACGCATGACTAATGCAGATTGCTTTTATTCTAGTCTGTTCTATGTGAATATGTATGTGGCTTATTGTTAATTTATATGAGATACCTGCGAGGAATATATGTACATATGTATATGTATGTATGTATATGTATATGCATATGTACATTTATTCACATATATTTACAAATATACGTAGAGCTGTGGTCTCAAAAATAGTTGTGCTACTGATAGCTAAATATTGAACACAAAAATGTGATACTCTCAATAGGATGTTAATAATTAATAGCAAATATGTTGGATAAATATACGATTCAAATTGTTTTCAAAATATTGAGTTTATTACAAGTATTTTATGACCGCAGCTGAATGTATATTCTGCATCAGAAAGAAATGTCAGGTCGCAGCTGGGATAGTGTCTACTATATAAATATTTAAAGCCTAACTTATGCATTTGTATTTGCTCTCTATACATATTTCTCTTAGTATGCCAGACACAAATTTCTCAATTGCACGATGCCAGCGCAGTGCTCATACGTTTCATACTCTTCCGGCTGCCAAAGGTGTCGGTGTATGAGATTAAATGGCTGCTGGGCGCATTGAAAATGTTATGCGAGGGTCGCGAGAGCGTTACCCAAGGCGCCCCTACACAGTTTGACTATAATGCGGTGGCGGCTGTCTTGAAGAGCGCCAAACATCCAGAATCGAACAGCAAGAGCATCAGCAGCAGCAGCTGCACCAGCGTTGCTAGCAGCGCTACTGGCACTGAAAAAGAATCACCCAAATCGGAGATAAAACGTTCCCGTTCAGATCTTTCGACGGTTATATTACAACAGCTATTGGCACCCCTAGAGCCTGGCAAAATGACCTGGGTGCCATTGAGCGAGGAAATCAGCGATTGCACAGTAAGCAAGAATCCAATGAGTATTTTATTCCTGCAGATATAATATCTATATATAGTTGAATACAGCCACGTTGTTCTATATATATTCGACATATATCTGCGTTTGTATCAACTTATTGGATTAGAAATTCTTCGATTTTGGTTGGTTTCCAATTGGATATATATTTCTAATGTGTATTCTCTATGATAGGAACAACTGCTGGCCGCCAATGTTGAATACTTCCAAGAACAGAACGGCGTGGATACCTTACTTGACGTCGGCATTTGTTTGCCTATACTTAATCGTTATCGCTCGAAATATCAGGAGGCAATTATGGGCGGCAAGGCGTTATATTTGCCGCTCACCCAAGTGGAGGCTAGCGCGGTCAAATCGGCCATGGCACATATGTTAACCGATCTGTCCATATTGGGGCAGGCGCATTCACTAATTGCTCTGCAGCCGCTGACTCCGAGCCGCATCGAAAAGCTATCGATGTGCGGCATAGCGGCGTTGTACAATGCCGTACTCACCTCTATAGCGGCCAGTGTACTGAGCATGTGCCAGGCCAGTGGCGGTTCTCAGAAGCAACAGCCAGCTGCTGCGGCAACAACTAGCCAGGGCAGCGGCAATAACAGCAATGTTTCGACAGGGGCCAAGGATCACGACGACTTCGAGGAACAGGCCTGCACGATCGTAAACAAAGCGCTAGAAATTTACACAAGCATTGGAGAGATGTTTAAGGCCTCCGCTCGCATGCATGTCTATCAGAACCATTTGTGTTATGGCTCCTGGCTGCTTATAAGTGGCATTCAAGGCGCCATGGGCGCTTCGGGGAGCAGCAGCAGTAGTAGCACCAGCAGCGGTTCATCATCAGGCAAAACGGCAGCCAGCACTGCCGAATCGAATGTTACACCCAGTACGCCCATCGCGCGTGTTAATCTGTTCAAGGTGCAGCAAGGATTTGGCGAGCTGAATGCAGCCATTGCTAATCATAGCATTAAACTACTCTCCGAGCTTATAGATGACTTAAAAATTGAATCAGCTTGCGGCGCGACCAGCAGCTCTGGAACTATCACCTGCTTGGACGTGGAGCCAGCACAATTTGATATATTGCAAAATTACACAGCTTTGCAGCGTATAGTGCGTGTCTTGAACACGGCCACATTGCATCAACTGTTCACCTTCTTGGCCACTGTGGCGTATCGCAAGGCATGCACCTTAAAGCGAGCCAGTGCCAAAGATCGCACCGAATGTGAACCAATTAGCTACTCAGACTCAACGACCTATTTCAATGATTCTCTCTCCTGTTCGGACAACTCTGAGGAGGATGACAGCGAAAGCTATTTGGGCCATTGGTTTAAAGAGACACTATCACCCGAAACACATGATGATAATGCCAACGCATGCACTCAGGAGCGCAGCGGAGAGCAAAAATCTGCACTAGTGCCCAGGCTGGATGAACCACATGAATATCTGGATTTGGCTGCAGACATATTCTGTTTCCTGGACCAGTTCCTGGCCAATCGACATGCCTACATGCAGCGCTATGTGAAGGCAGGCGTCAGTGATCAGCAAATGCTGCTCATGGCGAATATTATCAAAGACTTTGATCGTGATGTTATGCGGCAGGAGGCCGGTGGCAATCCGAGTGGCGCTGGTGGTGGTGGCGAAGGCAATTGCTCCAACTGGCAATCGGCAATGATTCGGTTTTCGGGCGCTGCCGGACGTTATATACACAACTTGATCTCGACATCGTTGCTCTCGGAGCAGCTGCAATCGAATCTGCTGCAACATTTGGCCATTTCACCATGGTCCACAGATACCAACAGTTGGCCACTTCAGGTCTACCCCAGCACTTTGTCCGTGCTGGTGCAGATTCTGTTGTTGAAGCCGACGCAGGAGAAGGAGGCGGCGTGTTTGTCTGTCTGGCATCGTCTCATTAACACGCTGGTCGAGGGCGTTTGCTCGTCTGCTAATGCCAGCGATACTGACTATGAGGACTTGAATATTGAACACGCTCAGCTACTGCTCTTCCTCTTCCATTCTCTAAATCTGATGCAGAAGAAGTCGATATTGCTGCTCACTGCTGGCGGTGTCATTCGCTGTGCCGATGTCTGTCGCGGCATCAGTGCGGAGCGCCCTGTTCGCAATAGCCAAATGATGCTGCTCTCGCGTTTGCTGCTCTTCCTCGAGTATCTCATGAAGCATTTGTACAATGCGCCTCCCGAGCTGCTCGATCAGGTGCGCTGGAATCTGTTCAGTGTAAGCACCATGCCGGATACCCAAAAAATTACGGACTTACTGAATAGTCGAACCAAACTGACGTCCTATTGCCGCCAAGACATTGAGGAAAGGTTCCGCAATTCCTCTGTGGGCGATCTGAGCTCAAGTAAGGTTTACTTTAAATTTATAATAATAGGAAATTGATAACATATTAATGTGTACTCTTACAGGCATTCGTCCCACTTTTTACTCTTTGGTCACCGGTGATTCTTCGAAGCCGTATTGGGCCCAGGAATTCAAATTGGATGGCTTAGCCTGGAATTTTATATTATGCACGCCGGATAAGCTCAAGTATCCATTGCTAGTGGATGCACTCATTGATATATTGGCCATTACCGATATGTCTGCCTTTACCAAGGATAAGGACAATCTACATAATCTCTGCGCCATGCAGTATTGCTTTAGCATCACCTGGAAGCTACTGCTTGGCTTGCCGCCGTCCACGTCTCATGTGGAGTCACTTAAAACGGAGCGTGTGCCCAATTTACACTCATTGCTCTGGAGCATACGCTGCCCATTGGCCGGCTCGCATTATCTGGTGGTCAACAGCCTCATCAAGCAGGGCATGTACACCCAGTACGCGGAGTCTTTGTGGGCGCAGGTGGGCGATCGCACAGCGGATATACGCTACAGCCTGAAGCAGACAATGCTAGGCGTTGAGGTCTTCAACCAGCAACTAAACAAGGGTAAATTAATATTAAATTATATTTATTTATAATATTTCATATGTATTGTATTTAATTTTCTCCTTAGCTTCGCCGAATCCTCGTCTATCTGATTTAATCCTCTTCGATGCCCTTATTGCCCACATGCAGGCTGTGGCCTGGGCAGATAAGGAAGGCTACAAGGTACAGCGCAAGGAGAGCGACAGCGACAGCATTACGTCAGAGAGTCGCGATCGTGAGAATTCAAGCGTAGCCACCGATCCGGAGGTTTACTCTTCGAGCGAGTCCATCGATGAGCAGCAGTCGAAGCTAACAGACGACAGCATACTCACGCCAGGTGAACTTCTCGAGCGCACACAGTTGAGCAACGAGCTGCTGGTCAAACTAATGGAGTCCTACACTCTACTCTCGAATATTGTGAAGGCTCAGATGCTGAAGCAGCTGTCCAGCAGCACGCCGGAGCAGGCACTCAATCTGATTGTGCCTGTTGTGAGCGATAAGCCAGCCATTATGCTGGAGCTTCACGCTGCCTTCCTCAAGCTGCTGCCCAACGAGGATAAGCAGTTGATAGCGAATGAGTGGCCCAAGTGTCTGTTAGTCAACGATGACGCCTTCAATGGCAAACAGCATCCTGTGGAACCGTACACATTAAATGTGATAGATGCACACATCACGGAGCTAACCAAATCCTCGACTTACACCACGCTTCATACGCTAAAGCATTGCTTGAAGTCAATTTTGCATCTGCTAGAGCTGCTGTTGTCCTTCTGCACGACCATTGGAGATGTGGAGGCGCAGCTGAAGCCCATGCTGATTGCCTCCATGATGGACATGCGCACCGATTACCTGCAGAGCCAGAGCGAGCAGTGCCTGCGTGAGATTCTGCATGGCCTGACCAATGAGGCGCATAAGCAGCTGCTCTTCGAGCATATGATTGGACACTGCTATCACATGCTGATTGACTTTGCTGCCGAGCTGAAGCAGCCGCCAACTGGAGCTGTTGTTGCGGAGCAGGAACAGCGCGCTGTCTTCAATGAATCCATGTTGTTTGCCGTACTGAAGACAATGATCAAAATGCTGGAGGTACCCACCGCTGTGCAGGCGATGCGGCAGTTCTTTAAGGAGCAGCGTGCTGGTAGCTTGACCACATTATTGCTCTCCTTCACGGGCACTACCCTGCCCTTGAGCTATGCGCGCAAGATGCTGCAGTTTGTGGAGCGACTGTTCGAGCATGCAGCTGGACCGGATGCACATTTTCAGCACGAGGAATTGGTTGAATGCTTCGGCGAACTGGCGAACGTGGATGTGGCACGCCTCAAGCTGTGGCTGGCCCACATCATCTATGGACCCAATGTGGTCGCCAACAATAGTAGCTGCGAAGCCTCGTGCAAGCTGTTGACCAGTGTGATGCAGCCTTCGAGCAGCTCCAGCAGCAATGCCCAAACACCAACAAATATGGCGACGGTATCGGCCATGCCGAGCATTTCGGATCAGCTGGACGCCATGGATATAGACTATGATTGTGGAGGTGCCGGCAATGCAGCGCCGAATACATCTCAGATTTTGAGCCTGTGGCAGGGCAATAATCAGCCAAATAATCAATCGGAGGACTCATCGCAGGCATGCGATCAGCAGAACAACGGAAACCAGCCACGCAATGGAGCTCTATTGTTGAGCTTTGTGAAGTCCCTGGTGCGCGAGCAACCAGCAGCGGCACAGTTAGCTCCGCCTCTGTTCCAGGCCCTGCTGCAGTTGGGACAGACATTGATAACGCCGCCGCAGGATGGCTGCGATTTTGCTGATGTGCTGCAGATCATGATAACTCTGGCGGATGCATCGCCGGCACGTGGTCATGTGGCACTGTTCAATACCACGTTGCTCTGGCTGGAGTTGGCCAAGCTGGAGCTAGCCAAGCTGCAGTTGCGCCATGCTGAGAACGTGAGCGCTCTGCTGCGTTACCTGAGCGAACTGCTGCAGGGCATTGGCTATCGGGGCAGTCGGCAACATATGCCCCCGTGGGATGATGAGCTGCAATCGGACATCGATGAGCTATACGATGAACTTGTCGATGAGCAGCAGGAACAGGACTCACTGCTAGACGACTCCGATGAGGATACGCTCAACAATAAGCTGTGCACATTCTCGCAAACACAGAAGGAGTTCATGAACCAGCATTGGTATCATTGCCACACCTGCAACATGATCAACACCGTCGGCGTTTGTTCCGTCTGCGCCCGCGTCTGCCACAAAGGTCACGATGTCAGCTACGCCAAGTATGGCAATTTCTTCTGTGACTGTGGCGCTAAGGAGGATGGCTCATGTCAAGCCCTCAGTCGCCGTCAGCCCACTAGCGGCTGCGATTCACGTGATGGCTATGTCTCGGCTCATATGAGCCTCTTGGCGGCCGGCAAGAAGCGCCAGTCGCCGCCTACACAGATACGCAAGGATTCACTGAGCAATGAGCGCATTGCATTGCTGGGCAAGCTGCTGGAGCCGCATCGTGAGGCACTGCAACATCCGGATCAATGGCTGCTCGTGGTGCGCTGCATTCTCGAGTATTTCGATGTTCTGATGCCTTCCATACGGGAGAATTGCACGCTTTACTCGATCGTGGGCTGTCACAAACGTGCCACAGTTGCACTGGAGCGACTGCATCAACTCGATCAGAGTTTCCAGGTGAGCAATATTTGATAACTTGAATATGAATTTGTATTCATAACATCCTCCTCCTATTGATTATAGATCACTGACCAGCTAATGTTTGCTACTCTGGGCTCCCAGGAGGGCGCGTTTGAGAACGTGCGCATGAACTACTCCGGCGATCAGGGACAGACCATTAAGCATCTGATATCGTCGGGCGTCGTGAGGCGCGTCGCCTTCTGCTGCCTGTCCTCGCCACATGGCAGACGTCAGCAGCTGGCCGTCTCTCATGAGAAGGGAAAGGTCACCATACTGCAGTTGTCTGCGCTGCTAAAGCAAGCGGATGCCTCGAAGCGCAAGCTGACCCTCACACAGCTCAGCTCGGCGCCCATTGCGTGCACCGTGCTCTCGCTAGCAGCCAATCCCTGTAACGAGGACTGCTTGGCCGTCTGTGGCTTGAAGGAGTGTCATGTGCTGACCTTCTCCAGCAGCGGCAGCACCAATGAGCACATTGTGGTTACACCCCAATTGGACAACGGCAATTACATCAAGAAGGCTGTCTGGCTGCCGGGCTCCCAAACGTTGCTCGCTTTGGTCACTTCGGATTATGTGAAGATTTATGATCTGGCCGTGGACACGTACAGTCCGAAGTACTACTACCTTGTGGCAGTTGGAAAGATACGGGACTGCACCTTCATCTACCAGGAGGGTGCCTATTATATGCTGACCTTTGCCAGCAGCGGCTATATCTATTACCAGACCCTAGACGAACAGAGTCTGGCCGTGCACGGAGATTTCTATGTGACTAACACACTGGAGTTGAGCCATCACCATATTAAGGATGTGAATGGACAGGTTGGCGGCGGCGGCGTCTCCATATATTACTCGCACTCGCTTCAATTGCTCTTCTATAGCTACGCATCGGGTCGCAGCTTTGTTTCTCCTTTGACAAATGTCAATCAAGGCGTTAAGGGCATCTACCATTTGGATACGAATTCGGCTGTTAGCAAATCCTCTTCGAAAGGCCCCTTGCAGCCACTGGTCCAGTGGACTGAAGTAGCCGGCCATCCCGGACTTATATACGCTAACATGCAAACGTCTAACAATCCAATCATATTGATGCTTACCCCGGAATTGATATACATGCAGGAGATCAAGGCCCAATCGGCCAAGTCACGCATCATGGATGTCGTGGGCATACGTCACTCTGTGGCCGGCACTGAGAAGACGACGCTGCTACTGCTCTGCGAGGATGGCAGCCTGCGCATTTTCTCTGCCCAGCCGGAGTTGACCAGTTTCTGGCTATCGCCACGTGTCCAGCCGCTGGGCAATCAACTCTACTCCGCCACATTGCTAGCCAAGAGTGCCAGCGCTCTGTCCGCTGGCAGTCCGAAGTCGAGCAAGTCCAACAAGTTGTCACGTAAATCGGGTGGCGGTGTTGGAGGTGGCGTCGCTGGTGGCCAGCAGAAGCAGTTGACGTCGGGTGGAGTGCCCGTTTTTCCCATTGATTTCTTCGAGCACTGCAACATGCTAGCCGACGTGGAATTTGGTGGAAATGATCTGCTTCAGATATATAATAAGCAAAAGCTAAAGACCCGTCTCTTCTCCACGGGCATGTTCGTGGCCAGCACTCGGGCCAACGGATTCACACTGGAGGTGCTCAACAATGATCCGAATGTGGTTATAGTTGGCATACGCGTCCTGCTGGGCACGCAGGACACTCAGCGAGCACCGCAGTCGGTGACCATATTGGGTAGGACAATTCCGACGCCAGTGCGACGCGCCCGCTGGTTTGATATACCGCTGACGCGGGAGGAGATGCTGCAGTCGGATAAGGTGCTTAAGGTGTGCTTTTCCAAGTCACAGGATCCGGAACATGTAACGCTGCTCGATTGCATTGAGGTATATGGCAAGTCCAAGGAGCTCGTCGGCTGGCCAGACGATAGCGAGGAGCTACCGGCTACAGCGGGCGGCGCCAGTGCAGCCACAGCGGTTGCTTCGCCGGCCAGTTCGGCTAACTTTGGCGAGGGCTTCAATTGCATCACCCAACTGGACCGCATGTGCACCCACCTACTCGAGGTGCTCGACTGTGCCCTGCATTTGCTCGGCAATGGAGGCGCCGTGGCTGTGGCTATGCGCCAGAAGGCGATTAAGACCGCCAGCGCCTTGTTGCTGCTGCCCACACCGAATCCCGTGCAGACCCAGGCCCGTTATGTGCTGGCCACGTTGTACGGCAGTCGTGGCTCGTACCATGCCTACAAGGATAGTGTCTTGCTGCAATTCGTGCACAGCGAACTGCAGGCAATGCTGCCGAAGCTAACCCAACTGGACACGTTGCAGGATATCGATCCGGAGGCCTTTTATCGCCTGATATTGCTCGTCCGTGGCATCGCCAATGCCCGGCCGCAGTCGCTGGCCAAGATTTGCGCCGAGTGCAACTACGATATTGTGCCAGCACTGATGGCCATTGTGTTGGAGCTGCATAAGGTAACCCCAGCCCTGGATGAACCAACGAATATTGTGCGTCGCGGTCTATGCCAGCCGGAGACGATTGTCCACTGCCTGGTGGAGATCATGTACGGATTTGCCCTGGCCGATGCCAGTCAAGTTGGCCGCATGACAAAGTACTTCATTGATTTGCTCAAGCATGATGCGAGCGTCATTAGCCACAGTGCCAAGGAAGCGCTCATCCTGCTGCTCAGTCCACGCATCAAGCGCAGGAAGGTGGCCATTGCAACTACGCCGCCAGCCTGTTCCACGCCCACGCCGTCGGCTTCGGCCTTCAGCAACAGTAACTTGAGTGCTTTGCAGGGTGCCGCTTCGCAGGCGGCCAGTGATATAATTGAGGAGGCAGCTGCAGCGGCTGTGGATGCATCCGCTGTGGTTGGTGGTGAGGCCAACGCACTGCTCGAGGCGGATCCACCAGGCGTTAATCAGCAACAACAACAACTGCAACAGCAGCTGCTCAACTTGGAAGCGTTAATGGGTGGCGGCTTTCCACGGCCGCTCGGTCTGCCCGAAGATGCCGACGACGAGGCCATTATGGATATCGCCATTGCCCTGAGCCTGCAGCAACATGGCGGCGATGCGAATGCACTGCAATCCCTGCAACAGGGCTTGGCCAATCTGCAGGGCATACGCCTGGCAGCAGCGGCTACGGCAAATGCAGCGGCTAGCGGCGATGCAGCCGGATCGGATGATGACGAAGGCTCCAATGTGGCCACCGATGGCTCTACGCTGCGCACCTCGCCCGCCGAACCAGCGGGCAGCGGTGGCTCCGAGAGCGGCGGCAGTGGGGTCGAAAGTATTGGCGGCACTTCGGCGCGCAGCAGCAACTTTGGTGATCATGCGAATGCTTCGCCGCCGCGCCAGAGCAAGGATCAGGATCAGGAACAGCCGGGCACAAGCAGTGGCTGTGTCGCAGCACTCAGCGCCATGAGCAGCAGCGAGGACAACGAAATCAACGAGGATGAGAAGCTGAACAAGCTACATGATCTGAGGTGAGTCTAGAAATTTTTAAAGCCCTTTCTTATAATGAATATAACAGGCAGTCTCTGTTAACTGTATACAATCTATATATAATCTAATTAATAATTCAACGATTAAATTATTATCAGGATTGCTGTGCTGGAGAGCATCATCGAGCACTTGAGCACATTCGATATGTGCAATGGCCTGCAGGCCATACCGCTTATTCAGGTGATTTTGATGCTGACCACAGACTTGAATGGCAACAATGAAAGGGATCAGCAGGTGCTGCATGATCTGCTGACCGCGCTCGTCGACTACGTCGAGATCGGCAAGCGAGGCGTGGCCACCAAGGTAAGTAAATTCGTAAATAATAAAATGTCAGACTCTTTTAACAAGAGCATTCGCTTGCAGATGGAAACAAAGTGTCCGGGCAATGAGGTACGTCTCGCACTGCTTTCGCTCTTTGGCGTTATGATGGGCAAGACCAAGTCGAAGCAAACGGGCACCACTTCGCCGCCGCATCAGTTCAAGGATAACAGTTCTTTTGTGGCCAGCACCACGGCGAATGTGTTGAGCAAACGAGGTGCCTTTGTCTATGCACTTGAAGCACTCAATACACTGCTGGTGCACTGGAAGCAAGTGCTGGGCGATCCCTATGCTGCCGGCGGCTCTGGCATTGTCCAGCCGGCGGGTGGCAATGTCAGTGGTTCGGGCACAGCTGGACAACTGTTGAAGCCCATTAAGCACGGACCGAAGCCGGATATATCGATTTTGATACCGCATAACTATTTGAAAAACTATCCGGACATATTTGAGTCGTATGATGCGCTGCTCACCGAAATTATTGTGCGTCTGCCCTACCAAATACTGCGTCTGAGCAGCGCCCATCCCGATAATTATGACAGCGGCTTCTGTGAGGCGATGACCTTTACACTCTGCGAATATATGATGCTCAATCTGAACGCGCTGCTGCGTCGCCAGGTGCGCAAGCTACTGATGTACATCTGTGGCAGCAAGGAGAAGTTCCGCATGTACCGAGACGGACATTCCTTAGATGCACATTTCCGTGTGGTGAAACGCGTGTGCAGTATTGTCAGCACAAAGGTAAGCGGGATAATTTCTGTATAAGCTATATCTAATGCTATCTTTATTTATTCCAGAACGGTGCTCCTTATAATGCGAATCCGCCCATGCTCAGCTATGATGCCTTGGTGGAACTAACCGAACATTTGCGCACCTGTCAAGAGATTAGCCAAATGCGCACCGGCAACTGGCAAAAGTTCTGTGTAGTTCATGAGGATGCCTTGGCCATGCTAATGGAGATTGCCTGCTATCAGCTGGACGATGGTGTCTCACCCATTATTATTCAACTGCTACAAGCGGCCGTTTGCAATATACCACAGGCCATGACCGGCGTCAAACAGCAACAGCAATCGCAGCCAACCTCAACCAGCAGCAAGCTGCGTGGTGAGCGTGAGAAGAGCGAGGATACGGATACTGCATACTACTCGAAATTCGATCCGGCTCAGTGCAGCACATTTGTCCATCAGATCTTCCGCTATGCCAGCGATGCGCTCATCATACGCTTTGTGCGCATCTTTTTGCTGGAGAACAATGTGAGTCAGTTGCGCTGGCAGGCGCACTCCTTTATGACGGGTCTCTTCGAGCACGCGAACGAGCGTCAGCGCGAGAAGTTGTTGAACATCTTCTGGAATCTGTGGCCTTTGGTGCCCAGCTATGGTCGTCGAACCGCTCAATTTGTGGATCTACTCGGTTATCTAACATTGAGCACGAGGAGCATTACGGATCGTTTGCCGGAGTTTGTGTCGCGAGCAGTTGAGGTGTTGCGGCAACAAAATGAGCTGCTCTGCAAGCATCCAAATGCGCCCATCTACACCACACTAGAGTCCATATTGCAGGTGAGTTTGTAATCAAATACCTCAAGGCCAAAGTGGAAAATTCATCAATGTCTTATTTCAGGTTAATGGCTATTACCTCGAATCAGAGCCTTGTCTGGTGTGCAACAACCCCGAGGTGCCCATGGCCAACATAAAGCTGCCCTCGGTGAAGTCGGACTCTAAATATACAACCACTACCATGATCTATAAACTGGTGCAGTGTCACACCATCTCGAAGCTGATTGTGCGCATTGCCGACCTCAAACGCTCCAAGATGGTGCGCACCATCAACGTGTACTACAACAATCGTAGTGTGCAGGCCGTCGTCGAGCTTAAGAATCGTCCAGCGCTGTGGCACAAGGCTCGCTCCGTCTCGCTGCAATCGGGACAAACGGAGCTCAAGATTGATTTCCCTCTGCCAATCACTGCTTGTAATCTGATGATTGAATTTGCCGACTTTTACGAGACGGTCAGTGGTTCAAGTGAGAATCTGCAATGTCCACGCTGCAGCGCAGCGGTGCCGGCGTATCCTGGCGTCTGTGGCAACTGCGGTGAAAATGTGTTCCAATGCCACAAATGCCGTGCCATCAACTACGACGAGAAGGATCCGTTCCTGTGCCACTCGTGCGGTTTCTGCAAGTATGCCAAATTTGACTTCAGCATGTATGCGCGGGTCTGTTGCGCTGTGGATCCGATCGAGTCGGCCGAGGATCGTGCGAAGACCGTACAGCTAATACATAGCTCGCTGGAGCGTGCCGATCGTATCTATCGCCAGCTGTTGACCAACAAACAGATGCTCGAGCTGCTCATCCAAAAGGTGGCCGAGCATCGCAGCAGCGATCGCCTAGTCGAGGACAATATGGGCAGCGTGCACAGCACCTCGCAGGTAAACAAGATCATCCAGCTGCTCGCCCAGAAATATTGTGTGGAGTCGCGCACCAGCTTCGAAGAGCTCAGCAAGATTGTACAGAAGGTTAAGGCCTGTCGCAGGTGAGTTGGCTATTGATATTAAATATATAAACCATATAATGATTAACCGATTTCCTTCAGTGAACTGGTTGCCTATGACCGTCAACAACAGGATCAGCCGGCGGCTAGCATGCCGTCTGGCATTGAGGCCAATCACACTACAAATCGTTGCTATGGCTGCGCCTTGGCCTCCACGGAACAATGTCTGACGCTGCTGCGGGCCATGGCCTACAACTACGATTGCCGTGTGGGCTTGTATAGCCAGGGCTTGGTCAGTGAGTTGGCCGAGCATAATTTGCGTCGCGGTACTCCGCAAATCCAGGAGGAGGTGCGCAATCTGCTGGTTGTGTTGACCAAAGACAATGCCGAGGCGTGCATGCATCTGCTGCAGCTGGTCACGACGCGTGTCAAGAATGCCTTAATGGGCGCTATACCTTTGATCAGTTTGGAGGCGGCTGTGCATCAGGAAATGACGCTGCTGGAGGTGCTGCTCGGGCAGGATGATGTCTGCTGGGAGTACAAGCTGAAGGTTATCTTTGAGCTATTCATCAGCAACTGTCGGTGGGTGATCGAAGAGATTATGGAATTTATATATTCCTGTTTCAATTATATATTACATTCAAATATATCTTCTTTCAGTCTGCCACGTGGTCCTGTGACATCTGTGCTGCATCCTTGCTTGCGCATCATGCAGAACTTGATTTGCCCTGCGTTGCCTAGCACTGGCAACAAGAACAACAACAACAACAATCAGCCACAGCAGCAACAACAGCAGCAGCAGCAACAACAACAGCAGCAGCAGCAGCAACAACAGCCATTGGGTCCCACGGATCTGTGCAGCATTAAACTACTGGACGGCAACACCATTGATTATCGCGCCTGGCTTAGCTCCGATCGCAATCATGATTATAACGCTTGGAGCAGTCGCATGCCCGCCAACAAATACCAACGGCAGGAAGGTGGCAAACAGCCGCAGCGCAGCAACAGCAACAACAACACCAGCAACAAGCAGCAGTCTCAGGTGGGCGATGCACCATCTAAGGGCGGACGTCGTGCTGAGGTCCGTGCCGCCTTCTTGAGCGAGAAATATGGACATCGCTGGCGTCAACAGGTGCTGGATAAGGAGAAAGTGATCAAGCCGCTGGTATTCAATGCCAAATGGATTCAGCCTCTGCTCTTCAATGCCAATTCTAGATTCGGTCGCCAGTTGGCCTGTTCGCTGCTTAGCGGCTTGTGCCGTACCAATGAACGGAAGCAGCAGGCGCTCAATATGCTCACTGGCTTCCTGCGACATGTTGGCGAAGCAGGAGAGGCCAGTGCCGAGTACTTAACCTTGTATCGCAGTGTAGCCACTGAGACGCCTTGGCTGCAGTATCTGGTGTTGCGCGGAGTTCTGGGCGAAATCTCGCAGCTTTTGGCGGTGGAAATTGGCAAAATACATCGCATGGAGGAGCATTCATTGTCCTCGGATCTCTCGTTGGGCTATGCGTTGCGTCAGTATGTGGAGCTGCTCTGGCTGTTCCTAGAGTGTCCCAACATTCGGCGCACCTACAAGACTCGTCTGTTGGGTCCCGTGCTGGAGAGCTATCTAGCTTTGCGCAGCCTGGTTGTGCAGCGTACACGCTTGATCGACGATGCTCAGGAGAAGCTTTTGGAAATGCTCGAGGAGATGACGAGCGGCACTGAGGAGGAGACGCGTGCTTTCATGGAAATTCTGATTGATACCGTGGAAAAGACGCGCATGAATGATATAAAGACACCGGTGTTCATATTCGAACGTCTCTACTCGATAATACATCCCGAGGAGCATGATGAGAGCGAGTTCTACATGACGCTGGAGAAGGATCCACAGCAGGAGGATTTCCTGCAGGGACGCATGCTTGGCAATCCATACCCCTCCAGCGAGGTGGGCTTGGGTCCGCTGATGCGGGATGTCAAAAATAAAATCTGCACTGACTGCGAACTGATCGCGCTACTGGAGGACGACAATGGCATGGAGCTGCTAGTGAACAACAAGATAATCAGCTTGGATCTGCCTGTAAAGGATGTCTACAAGAAGGTGTGGCTAGCCGAGGGCGGAGATCGTGATGCCATGCGCATTGTGTATCGCATGCGCGGCCTGCTGGGCGATGCCACCGAGGAATTTGTGGAGACGCTGAACAACAAGAGCCAGGAGCAGGTGGACACCGAACAGCTGTATCGCATGGCCAATGTGCTGGCCGATTGCAATGGGCTGCGTGTGATGCTCGAGCGGATTGGCAGCCTGCAGCGCATCTCGCGCCAGCGTGAGCTGATCCAAGTGCTGCTCAAGCTGTTCCTCATCTGTGTGAAGGTGCGTCGCTGCCAGAAGGTGCTCTGCCAGCCCGAGGTGGGCGCCATCAATACACTGCTAAAGGTGCTCCAAATGTGCTTGCAATCGGAAAACGATTCCATACAGTCGGCTGTAACCGAGCAACTACTCGAAATTATGGAGACCATACTGTCCAAGGCGGCCAGCGATACGCTCGACTCTTTTCTACAGTTCTCGCTAACCTTTGGCGGGCCCGAATATGTGAGCGCTCTGATCTCCTGCACCGACTGTCCGAATGTGCGCAATAATCCATCTGTGCTGCGTCATCTCATACGTGTCCTGGCGGCGCTTGTCTACGGCAACGAGGTCAAAATGGCGCTGCTCTGCGAGCACTTCAAGGTAGGTTCTACCCTTGGTTGTCTCTCACTGAATTACAGTTATACATAATTCCTCTTTCATTACTGCAGCACACCCTTGACTTCAATCGCTTTGACAATGAGCGCACCACCGAGGAGGAGTTCAAATTGGAGCTATTCTGCGTGCTAACAAACCAAATTGAACACAATTGCATTGGCGGCACTCTGAAGGACTATATTGTTAGCCTGGGCATTGTGGAGAGCGCTTTGGCATATATTACGGAGCATGCACCATGCGTTAAGCCCACGCTGCTGCGCACGGACTCCGATGAACTCAAGGAGTTCATTTCGCGCCCGAGCTTGAAATACATTTTGCGCTTCCTGACCGGCCTGGCCAATCATCATGAGGCCACCCAGTTGGCCATTAGCAAGGACATTATACCGATTATACATCGCCTGGAGCAGGTGTCTAGCGATGAGCATGTCGGCAGTTTGGCCGAGAATCTGCTCGAAGCGCTCAGCACAGATGCGGCGACGGCATCGCGTGTCCAACAGGTGCGCGACTTTACACGTGCCGAGAAGAAACGTCTGGCAATGGCGACGCGTGAGAAACAACTGGATGCCCTGGGCATGCGAACCAATGAAAAGGGTCAGGTGACTGCCAAAGGTTCCATACTGCAAAAAATCGAAAAGCTGCGCGATGAGACAGGACTCACTTGCTTCATTTGTCGCGAGGGCTATGCCTGCCAGCCAGAGAAGGTGCTGGGCATCTATACGTTCACCAAACGCTGCAATGTCGAGGAATTTGAACTGAAGTCACGTAAAACCATCGGCTACACCACCGTGACGCACTTCAATGTGGTGCACGTGGATTGTCATACATCTGCCATACGCTTGACGCGCGGTCGCGATGAATGGGAGCGTGCCAGCCTGCAAAATGCCAATACTCGTTGCAACGGACTGCTCCCACTCTGGGGTCCGGCTGTCGGGGAGGCAGCCTTCTCTGGCTGCATGACGCGACACAGCAGCTACATGCAGGAGAGCACTCAGCGCTGCGACATCTCGTACACGAGCAGTGTGCATGATCTGAAGCTGTTGTTGGTGCGTTTCGCATGGGAGCGCAGCTTCCATGATGACGCCGGCGGCGGTGGTCCACAGTCAAATATGCACTTTGTTCCGTACCTGCTATTCTATGCGGTCTATTTGCTGCTCTCCTCGCGCTCCGCAGCCCGGGACAGCAAAACATTGCTAAACTATTTGACAGCTGCGCCATCGGAAAAGTGGCTTGAATGTGGCTATGAGGTAGATGGACCACTCTACATGTTGACCATATCGCTGTCGCTGCACAGTCGTGAATTGTGGAACAAGTACAAGCTGGCGCACCTGAAGCGTCTGGTGGCTGTGGCCCAGGCACGTCACGTTTCACCGTCGGTGTTGTGCAAGGCGCTGCTATCGCCGGCAGATCGCCAGGCCAAAGAATATAGCGTATATAAGCCGTTCCTTATGATGTGGGCACTTGTCGATATGATCTACAATACGCTCTTCAAGACGGTGAACACCGTCAAGGAGGAGGACTGGCCTGCATCCCTATTTGAATACATACGCAAGAACGACGAGGCCATGCTTAAGTCAACGGATAGCATACTGCAAACACTGACGGATGAGTTTTTGCCGTGCACCTCGTTTGGCGAGTTCTGTGATGTGGCGGGTAAGTTGGCATTCCCCAAGAGCAATCCACATATAAGACATGAAACATATGTAAATAAAACATCTTTTCCTTCTTCTTAGGTCTTCTCAATCTAATCGAGCAGCCAGATAGTTTCATTGAAGATGTGCTAGGCGCCTTGCCCACCACTACCAGCTCTAGTTAAATTTAAATGCAGTTCTCATCATATTTATATGGATGCCTTTTGAACACTTAATAGGGTTCAGTTGTTGCTATCCGCTAATAAGCATATATCTATGCATAAACTTATATATTTATCACCTAAAAACTATTTAATCAATAAAATTATTCGTTTGCACAATGAAAGAAAATGGACACAGAAACGATTTATTCATATGTATTATCATAACTTTATTTTGAAACACGAAAAACGAAAACTAATCGGTATACAAATACATATACATATATATAAATACAAAATAATACACAATATATCCATAATATATAATAATTCAATATATATTGCAAAATGGGAGACGTACGTTGGTACAAAATAATTCGTATGTAAATATCATCAGTATAATTACAATTTCAGTTCTAAAAATTTCACTACATTTTTTGTTTAACGCAAAAGAATATTTTAAAAATTAAATAAAAACAAAGTACAATAGTCGCTGTGATATGAGAAAAAAGCATTACAAATTTTGTTCTATTTAAAAATATACAATATTTGTTTGTATATTTGTTAATTTGTAAAAATTGATTTTTTGTCGAGCGACTACTGTAAATATTTACAAAATTCTTTAAAAAAAAATACAAAAAAAACAGTAACAAATGAGAGTTACAAATTTAAAGCTGTGTAGTAAGAGTAATTTTTTACAACCTTTTGGTCACAGTTTTTATTTTTATTTTTTTTTTTTTTTATCCTTTTGTTTATTGTTCGATAATGTAATTTAAAGATGAAAAACTATAGGAAATCACTGAGTAAATCTTTTGTTCGATAGTTTGTTTTGTATTGTGTTTAAACATAACGAGTGTATAGTAGTAGAGATTGCTGGATAGATAGTAAGTAAAATACATTATTTTAATATTTAATAGGTACACAGGTGCAAAAAGTGCGACAGCTTGTCATATAATATTAAACTAATTTTGAGCAAATGCTAACCATCAACCGAGAGAGAGAGAGAGAGGGAAGAGTGAGAGGGAAAAATATACATAAATATCATAATACTCTTTATACAAAAGAAATAATTCATTAATAATAATCATAATAATAATACCTTAAACCGTTATTCATAAAAAATAAGAAAATATCATAGATAGAGATTCGTTTTCGTATTCGTTTCAATATGTTTTCTCCAATTCTGGAACTGGGCGGGGAATCAATGACACATTTAGTAGTAGTTGTAAATACATACATACATGCACACATATATATAATACGTATTTGTTATTTGTTAATAATTATATCTTTGTTTCGTTTTTCAGTTTGTATATCTATATACTGTAGTCTGCTTTGTTTGTCATGGCTGCCTAAAAAAGTTGATGTGCGTTTATATCAAAAAATGCACCACAATAGTTTTTTGTCGTTTCTTTGTTTGTTTGTTATTTTGTTGCTGTTGATTTCCTATCAATTGACAATATACACATATATGCTTACACTTAAGTTTAGTTTTTAATTTAGATCAAATTCCAGTTTTGTCCTTTATATTTTTGTTTTTTGATTCTTAGTGAAGAGCTAAAAGATTTAGTTATATCAGGAATCGCAAGCTAATGAGAATTGTTGGTGAATTTTCTAAATGGCTTTTAATTCTGAGTATATTGTTGAAGATTCGCTCTTATGAAGTTATCAGAGCTGTGCCTCTGTAACGAGAACGACGTTCCTCTTTCAACTGCCACGAATGACACTGATAAGTTTTGTATTTCTTAAACCATTTAATCTGAGTTCTTTACCCGTGTAAAGTTAAACAGTTTACATGTTTGCTGTTACTACTTAGATTTTAGGATTAGGATATCCGATATAAAAATAATAGTATCAGTATCTGTTGTCTCTAAAAATAACAAACCGATTGCTACGAGATGTCCGAGTAAATGAAATTAGTTTAACTGAAGTTATTTAATATCTATTACTTCCTTTCACTCACACCAATCAAGGCTTACATCGATCACATACTTCTTCAAGGACTGCCTAACAACAATTGTTTTAACTACTTGAAAATTATGCAAATTAACTGAACTAAAAATTAAATTTGAGAAAAAATTAAACCAAAAAAAAATCATATTCCCATAGCTTGCGATTCACATATTCTTTCAATAGTTTATTTTTTGTATATGTGCGAAATTATTCGTTCAGCTTTAAAGTTGTTCACTTATTTGCTTTGCTCTTATAGACGCTCCACTAAATATTCAGATCTTATAGTTTTCTTTGTTCGACGACATACATCATTCTGGCTAAATCTTGATGTATGTCAAGTATTATGTACAAAAAATTGCCTAGACTATGCATAGAATGCCACATATAAATCGTATATGCGAGTATGCTACATATATCTATATATATAATGGTTATTTATAATTCACTAGTACAGATCGGGAAGGGACGGGGATGTTTATATTTATATAGACTAACACTTACACACATATTCACTGTAGTTGTCACTGCTTAAGCCTGATGATGTCGTTGCGTGCGCATGAAGTGCCTCGCATTGAGCGGATATTGACGTGGATAGGATATCAATGTGGAGCCCAGGGCAATGCTGAGCGGAGCCTTCGAGCGCCCGGGCAGGCTGACAAAGACGGTGCCAACAGCAGCCAAATTATCGTAAGTCGGCTCAATGGCCACCAGCATGATTTCCGTTGGCTGCACGGGACGGGAGCTGCTACTGCTGCTGCTGCTTCTGTAGTGTCCATGTCCATGGATGTGGGTGTGGGTGTGTGAGCTGTGAGAGCTATGAGAGCTGTGTGTGGGGCCGTGAGTACGGCTGTGTGAAGAGCTGTGTGCGGTACTGGGCGTTGGTTGATTGTGCAACTGGGTCTCGCTCTGTAAATGCTGTTGCTGCTGCAGCAGCAGCGCCTGGCGTGCACGTTGGCGCATTTGACGTGTGGTCGACGCCGACGTGGCTGGCGGACTGTTATCCATGTCTAGGCTGGACGCAGCCAAGAAGATCTGGGCGAATGGACGCTTCGCCAGATGCAGCATTTCGACAACATGTTGGCGGCGCGCACGTCGCAAATCCGCCGCCTGCTTCACCTTCCAGACGATAACGCACAGGGCGAGGAACAGAAAGAAGCAGGAGAAGAAGACGGAGAAGAACACAAACAGATCGATGTGCAGCTGATCTTGGCGGAACACCACAGATCCGTAGCTCGGCTCCGGGCCAGAGCTGGCGCGCAGTGCGATAAAGAATCGCGTGGCGCTCAAATTGTGCGCATGCTGTGGCAGCGTCAGCACCAAGCGATTCTTTAATCCGAACAGACGGAGCAGCGTATTGCATTGGTTCAACGTCACATGCGTGCTCAGGTCCTTGGCGAACTGATCCTGCACCACAAAAGTGTGTCCTCCATGGCTGCGACAGTCGTGCAGGTGCGGTACATAGAAGTTGTTGCTGCTGCTGCTGGCGCCCATTGTTGGGCCGTTGGAGCCAGTGCGTCGCTCAGGCGCGAAGAGCTTCTGCAGCGTAACATTGTCGTGGCGCGGCAGGGCAATGTTAAGTGGATGCTGGCGCTCGGTCTTGGGTCCCCAGTTATAGCGATTGTCCAGAAAGATCTCGTGGTAGCCCGTTGTCTGATTTGTTTCCACTATAAAGGAATCGTCCTGCGGCGACATAAACACATCCAATTCTCCTTGAGTTACATCGATTATGATGCGTATGTCCACGTTCATGAAACGGGGCTGGATGACAAAGAACACCGTCTGACCGGGCTTGAGAGCAGCTGGTTTCGATTTGCATTCCTCTGTGGATGGATAGATTTATATGGTTAGTGCAATAACAACTATAAGGTTGTCCAATCTTACCTATGGGCTTGGCATCGAAGCACATGCGCGACTCGACCGTGATTTGTTTGTAGCACTGATGTCCATCGGTGGGATTGCCAGCATAGGAGTCGCGACACTTGGAGCACTGAACGCTCCAGCAGAGCTGGGCCGAATTCTTGCCGCCGCCAGCGATGCAGGTGGCATCGCTTTCGGTGTTGTTGGCACAATTGCACTTCTCGCCGGTGACCGCATCGCAGATGTTGCCGTGGCCATGGCACTGGCAGGGGCGGCACTCCTTGCGTAGATCCTCGCTGCCACGGAAATAGCCCAGCAGGCAGCTGTCGCAGCGATCGCCAGCCGTGTGATTCGCACACCGCAAGCAGGTGGCATTGTGGGCGGGTCCCTCGGGCAGAATGAGCTCCAGCTCTGAGCGTGTCATATTGAAGACCGCCGGATCCGCATCGTAGGCCACACAGACATCCGAGTGGCCGTGGCAGTACTCCAGGCAAGGCTGACAGGCGTGACCCTCCCGCGGATTGCCCACAAACAGCGGCTGGCACTTCTCGCACTGTTCGCCCATCGTATTGTTGTGGCACTTCAGACAAATGTCCAGCCGGCTGCTCGACTCACAATTGGAGTGTCCGTTGCACAGGCACTGGATGCTGCAGTTCTCGCCCACATAGCCAAAGTCGCATTTGCATTCGTCGGGGCGAATGCAATTGCCGCGCACACAGCCCTGACTGCAGACGGGCAGGCAGCTGTTCTTCTCCTCGCGATAGCCGGCGGCACAGACGCACTTGTAGCCAGGAGTCGGTGTATCCAGATCGATGCACTGCTCGGACACAGGATCACAATTGTGATGTCCATTCTCGCACTCGTTCTCCGCCGGACACTGCACGTAGTGCCAGCTAACCACGTCCGCATGCGTCAGCTGTGAGTCGTTGCGCCAGCTACTGTAGATTAGATCACACGTGGAGCCCGACGGATGCTCCTGGCGATGCTCGAGCGCGCCCTCCGTGCAGATGCCGTCGCCATTGAAGCCCTCCCGTGCACACCAGCCGCAATGCGCATGCTCGAGGCAGGTGGAACACTGGGTGTACACATGGCACGGCTCGGGGCAACGTTCCAGCTCAGTGAACTCCAAGACCAGGCCACATACGCCGCCAGCGCACAGCAACGGCTGTGCACTGGGCGACAGGCAGGCGTTCAACATGGTCGACCATTTGCAATCCGTGGCAACGGCATCTGGCGCCGATTGCAAGCAGCTGCTGCAATTGCTGTGCGTGTGGCATGGCGGTGGGCATTGGTCCACCAAGTGATATGCATTCTTCTCCACCAGTTCCCGGGCAATGCACTCCACGTGGCCCATGTCGTTGCGTGCCCAGTGGCACTGCTCGCTATGCAGCATGCACGTCTCGCAGTCCAGCTGATGGCACTGGGGCAGCGGACAGAGGCCGAGCACTCCCACACTGAGTTCCTTCTCACACCAAACGCTGTTGCGGGCGCAGTCGACGCCGGCGGGCACACAACGTCCACGTATTCCACACTCATCGCACCATTGACACACCGGACTCAGCTCCTGGTGGATGGGCCAGGCGGCCAGGCAAGCGCTGCAGCTGCCAAAGCTCGAGCAATTGCGACTCGCCAGCCAAACATCATTGCACGCCGGCCCATTGTTGATGACCAGCGTTCCATTGTAGTTGGCGCACGGCGCCCGACCTTGGGTGAAGCAATGCGAGCTGTTGCTATAGGTGTTCTGGATGGTGCAATAGCTGCAGCCCATATAGTGGCGGCACATCGACTTGCCGCCGCTCCACAGCTGGCAGATGTCCTCGGGCATGTTGATGCGCGTCACATGGCTCTGGGTGGCGCTGCCATCCCAGCCGCCAATCACATAGATCGCACCGCTGTCCGGATCGATGGTCATGTCCTCGGCATAGCTGGCCACGGGAAGGCGACCAATCAGCTCCACATCATCGGTCAGCCTCACCCACTGGTTGCACGCATACACGTAGGCAATGAGCAGATCTGTGGCATTATATGGACTCGTCCGGCCGCCATACACAATCATATAGTGCTCCGTGCTGACGGCCGAGTGGAAATATCGGGCACGCGGCAGCAGCGAAGTCGGAGAATTCAATTCCTTAAATGTCGGCAATTCCGTCCAGCTGAGCTTGTTCAGGTCGAGTGCATAAAGCTTGCTTTGGGCCTCGCCAGCATAGCCGCCAAATATGTAGAGGCTGTGCGTCTCCTGATGATAGACGGCACTGTGCCCGTATAGCACCGGTAGCCGTGCTCCCATTGCCGCCAGTTGCACCCAACGACCAGTGTCCAGATTGAATTCCCACAACTCCAGTGGGCGAGATTTATTCAGACTCAGGCCACCCACCAGGAGCAGCGATTCGTGTTCCTGATAGCGCGTGTGGGTCAAGGTGTGCCCGGCCAGCGCTGGGGGCGACTCGCCCTGCGATGGATCCGCCTCGATTTGGTCCCAGCGTTGATTCTGTATCGAGAACAGCCAGAAGTCCGAGAGCAAACGTGAATTGGCGCCGATGCCGCCATAGATGTATATATTCTGCTTCTTCACAAAGATCTCGGCGGCATGGAAATACCGTCCAAGGGGCATGCGATCCTCCGGAGTGGACGACTCGACTGTCACTTGCAACCAGGTGGCGTTCTTTGTATCGAACTGACGGAAGTCATTAAGCGGTCCATGACTCGGCGAATAGCCACCAAACATCCACAACGATCCCCTGCGATCCGCATTCACCGAGTGCCCAAAACGTGGGATGGTCTTTCTCAGGTGCTCCAGCCCTTCGCTCAGCAGTTGTGTGTTAAACAGCTCCGTCATAACCAGATGATGACGCTGCACCAGCGTGCCACAATCGGCGCCCGCATAGTTGTTGTTGTTGCATATGCAACGTCCATACTCGGTATCGCAATAGCCCTGGAGTCGCTTCGCATGGCAATTGCTTGGACAGATCTCGATTTCGCAGCGTGGACCCACATAGCCAACGGGGCAGACGCAACGCTGCAGCGCGTCACAGATATGCGGATGCATGCAGCTGCCCGCCATACAGTTCTTGACCGAATACAAAGCATTGAAGCCGAAATTGCGACGTTCGCTGCCCTGTTTGTAGTAGACGGTGACGTGACTGGACCGAGCCTCGATGATGCGTGCCGCACTGTACGGCTCACAGACAACGGCCAGCAGTTGATTTTGCTGGGCAGCGCCAGTCAAGTCAGGCAAACTATCATAGATGTACACGGCATTCTCGTCACAGCTCATGGCCAGGCTGTTCCACTGAAACTCTAGCTGCAGCAGCGACTTATCCGCATGCAAGGTCTTTGGCTGCAATATCCACAGGCATTCGCGCACCTCAAGGCTGGCGCCCCACGGCGAGCGATACGACTGATAGGAGCCGATGGCACTGCGTCCTATGTTGGTGAGTATGCCACGCGATTCGCATTGATAGTAGCACTGGCCACCGTCGCGCGGATCGCCGTAGTAGCCGGGCGCACAGACATCGCACTTGAGGCCCTGCGTGTTGTCCTTGCAGAAGCACTCGCCGTGGCTCACATTGCAAATGCCCTGCAAAGAGAAAGGCAGCAGCTGTAGCCAATGGATACTGGCCCTTGATTGAGCGATTGCTTACCAAATCCTGATTGCCGTGTCCATTGCACTCACACGGATGACAGCCGATATTTGCCGTTGCATTGCCGTAGCTGCCTTGGCGACAACGCTCGCAGCGCTCACCCTCGGTCCACGCCTGGCACTGGTCGCACTTTCCCACACGCTCCAGGCAGGTGGAGTGGTTGTTGCAGCCGCAGCTAGTGCCACAATCGCTCCCCGTCCAGCCCAGGTCACACTTACAGCTGTAGTCCGGCGGACCGGAGCAATAGCCGTGCTGGCAGAACTCGTAGCAGGTGCGCACGCAGCTGAACCGTCCGTCGCCCACATAGCCGCGCCGGCAATGACAATTGTAGCTGCCCTGCGTGTTGGTGCACTTGGCCTCCTTGTGGCAGTCGTGTAAGCCCAGCCCACACTCATCCACATCCGGGCACTGAGCATAGGCCCACTCGGCATCGTGCTGCGAGCTGCTGTTCAGGGCCAGGGAGCAGTTGCCTGCGCTGTAGCTAAAGTCGCCCTGCATGCAAATGCCCTCAATGGGATTGTCCCGATCGAAGCACCAGCCGCAGCTCAGCGTGCGCAGGCACGAGGTGCAGTTGCGATGACGCTCACAGGATTTGCACTGTTGCAAGGAACGGTGCGGTGCCGGATGCATAGTCAATGTGGTTGTGGGCGTTGCAGACGCCGACGAGGGTCCAGCTGCCGGCGACATGGGCGGCGTGCTGACCTTGTCGATCCACTCGCGGCACATGCCAAACTGGTATTCGCTGGTGTAAACGGCAAAGCTAAAGCACTGGGCACTCGCCTCACACCAGACACAACGTCCACGCTCGCCTAGACACTGATCGCAGCCGCGACGCTCGCGACACGGTCGCGGACACTGTGCAATGGATCGGACGCTGCTGTTCGATTTGCCAATGCGTCCACAGCGCGCATCATCCAACCACCATTCGCACTCGCCATTGCCAGGCGTGGAGACGCAGGCACGACAGGTCACATAATTGGAGCAATTGGCACACTGACTGGGCTGACTGATCAAGTACGCCCAATGGGTGCCCTGATCCGTATCATTGGCCACACAGACGGCGCTCTCATTGACTGACTTCAGATGACATTTGCTGGTCAGTGGACACCATGAGCAGGAGCCATCGGTCAGGCAATGCAGACAGTTGTTATATTGAGTGCAATCGCCGGAATAGTACGGCTCCAAGTACTCGAAGGTAAATGCATTCAGCTGTCCATTATGCAAATGCTGCAGCTCCATTTTCGTCTTCTGGTAGGTGTTGTAGATGTTGTTCTGGCCAATGCGACGGCGAGCCTGCAACGAGCATTATATCATTTATTTATTTATGTATATATACATATATATATTTTTGCGACTAGTGTTAATTCTTATTGAGCTTTAAGCACTAGTTGGAGGCAGATTGATATTATATTATTATATAAAAAATGCAACAATAAACTCACTTGAAAATCGATGAGGAATGGCTGCTCGGTGCTGGGTAGCTGGACATTGCTGCAGTACGATTGATTTGAGCTTTGCGTGGTCACATTGTCCAGCATGTCGAGATTCATGCCCAGACCCACACGCAGCACAGCTGACGAGTAGCTACTGCACACCTGTATGGCTGAATTRTTGTTGTTGTTCCACTGCTGCAGAGGCCGCACGAAGCCCAGGAGGCGTGCCAGCATTTCACCCTCCTGCCGCTGTTCAAAGTACGCAGTGGGCGGCGGCGAGGCAAAGTCCACCATGGTAGCATTGACAATGCCCACATAATCGGGCATGGTGAAGTTAACGGGATAGTTATACTTGATGTAAGTCAAGCCCGGACGCCGATCATTGCGGGTGCACATATCAGGTTCTCGAATTTCGGTGCCTTGTTCACCCCACCAGCCGGTGCTATCGCCGCACATGCCATAGTTGTCAGCACGATAATGACAACGGGCATTTTGCACACACCAGGTGCACTCGTTGAGGCCCAGTTTGCTGGCTACGGAGAAGGCGGCGGCATTGCCACGGCCCCACAGGGTACCGTGCACCAGGCACGAATGACAATCGCCCAAGGAGGGGCAAATTCCGGGGCAGCGTGTCGTCTGCAAATTGGTGGTGCAGTTGGCTCCAATTGTGCGTCCATAGCAGCTGCTATCCGCCGAGCACCAGCCGCATTCCGGATTTGATAGACATGCAGTATGTGAGGCGTGCAGACGACACGCCATCTCCGGATTGTGATTGTAAAGTGGATTCTCCACACGTAGCACCTGCGGCAGTTCATAGGCAAACAGATCTGCATTCACATTGCCGTGATAGCCGCCCACAATCAGCAGCGTGTGATTGCGACGCAGTGCAGCGGCATGGGCAAAAACGCCCTGATGCTTCGGGTACAAACTATCATCGGCCGAGACCACCTGATTGATCCAAATGTGACAGCTCAAGTGATACCAATACATTTGATTGTCGTAGCATATCTCATCCTTGTTATGACGATGCGTATAGCCGCCAAAGACAATCATATAATTGCCCGATATGGTGGCCGTATGAAATGCTCGCTCCCTTGGTATATTCGTATCCCTCAATGCTGTCCGTGGATATAAGATCTCTGTCCAGTGCAGCTGATCCAGTTGAAATGCAAATATGCGATCCGATAGCTTCGAAAAGCGTGCCAAACTCGTCATAATGCCACCAAATACAATTAGCGAATTAGTTGCTCCATAGTAAACCGTCGAATGAGCAGCCAAACGCACATCCAAGGTTTTCCCGCCTCGCGGCTTAACGAGTTGCCATTGCGAATCTTCACTGAGAGGCAAGCGTATCCGATAAATGCTGGAGGAGAATTCACCTGATTCCACACTGCCGCCAAACAAATACAAATAGTCCAAGGCGGTGGTTAAAGTATGCCTTGCAAGTGCCGGAGGCTGTAGCTTAGATCTGACAGCCATTTGCTTCCACTTGCCGCCACTTTCCGTATTATTGTATTGCCAGAGATCATTGTAGAAGCTGCCGTTGGCATGCTTGCCACCATAGATGACAAAGCCCCCTGGAACCCGATCTGCAGCATGTCCATAACGGCCATGTGGTTTGTGATCGGTCACCTCTTCCAGTATATCCTCCAGATATTCAGTTAACTCCTCGTCCGTAGAGTTTGCGTTAACTGTAGTCAATGGCAGCGAGGAACGGGTGCGTCTTTGATGTAAATTAGACTCGGCCAGCGTGTAGAGGATATTTCGAAAGAAGCTCACGTCGCTGGTCAGGCCCCACAGTTTGGCCTCGTCTTCGTTCTTATGCTGCAGCACAGCTTTCAACAGTGTATGATCAATTTTTTGTGGATGATAAAAATGACGGCGACTCTGTAGTGGTATGCCCCATTCGTCCTCCCATTGGCTGGTGCTAAAGCGATATATCTATAAAAAATATATTATAGTTAAATAGGTAGCTTTCTGGATCAATTCTATTCTTAATGTACCTGCAACGTGCTAATGACATTGTTCAGATCGTAGCCCCCAAATACATAGAGTGCATCCTCGTCTTCCATATAAACGGCGGAGTGTGCAGCACGCGGTGTCATGCCCTCAGCATCGGTGGCCAGCCAACGCCAGCTGCTGCCTGGTGGATTGTCACTAAGATCACACAAGCGTCCACTGTAGCCTGGGGAGCAATGACAAATGCTTTTCTGGCACTTTCCGCGACCCTGATGCTCGCCGCATTTCTGCGGGCACGCCTCATCCTCACAATCCGGCCCCACCCATTCGCCATGACAGACGCATTGGTGGCCCACACATTTGCCATGATTGTGGCAGTTATTCAGGCAGTTTGATATGTAATAGGAAGCACGAAATCCATCCAGCACGTAGTTTGTGTCGCTGTACATTAGGATGAGCATCTGTGTAGACAATTTTGAGATTATTAAAGGACGTAAGATTATGGATAATTTGATGGCACTTACACTACCACTCCGTGCGACTAGTTTTTGCGGTTGTGTGCGTCCGCTGAAGCTGCCCAAGAGAGTTGAATTGAAGGAATCGCCATCGTATACATAGATATAATCATAGGAGCACTCGGTGCCCATGCTATGGAATGTTAATGTTATAAATTGACTGTCATTTTTCGCTTTTATCAGCCATTCACAGTGCGAATCCTGCGTATAATTGTAGCCGGAGGGGCCATCGCTGATTTCACCGTAGGGCTCGGTGAATACCTTGCGACTGCGATCACAGGGCGCTGTTATATGTAGCTGATCCGATTGTGATGGCAATTGAAAGCTGATTAACCAAAATGTCAAGGTTGGCAGCAGCGCGTACATTCTTCGCATTTTAATTACACTCTCGCATTCGCAGCCCAATCTCATTTTATGCTAATTGCGTTAACACAATGACGGGCACATCCGTTTGTATTGTGTTTATCCGGTTGGAATTGTGTTGATGCATGTTTTCCACACTTCTTACATTGCACACAATTGAGGCACTATGGCCGTCGGTCCACCAGTAAACTCGTCGACCGCTGAAAAATATATTTTCTCTCAGTTGCAAAGCTCCTTCTTTTTTTTTGTTTAATTTTACTAATTAGTGGTGGCACTTATCGCAACTGAAATATCTATTGACTGGCAACTATCGTTACAAGTAGGTAATCTTGGCAATACTGTTTTTGGCCATTCACAGCGATACGTAACTATTGCACATCTCTAATTCCGTCTTTTTGGGTTTTCTTTCCTATTCAAGATGGTAGGTGTTCTGATCGGCTTTGACGAAAATCAGCAAACATCCGTGTTTATAACGTTCAAAATGTTAAACAAATTATTGATTATTGCACAACATAATGTTGTCTGTGATTTTGTGACAATATTAAACGAATGTGCGTACTTTCAATGCATTCTATTTGATACGCAAGCTTCCGTGTTACTGTTTAACATTTGTGATGGCGGCAACCGAGAACTGAAAAAACCAAAATTAATGTGTTGTTTGATTCTTATAGGTGAATGTACCTAAGCAACGTCGCACCTTTTGCAAAAAGTGCAAGGTCCATAAGCTGCACAAGGTGACGCAGTACAAGAAGTCCAAGGAGCGTAAGGGTGCTCAGGGCAGAAGACGTTACGACAGAAAACAGCAGGGTTTCGGTGGTCAGACCAAGCCCATCTTCAGGAAGAAGGTGAGTAACTCAATGGGATAATACCATATCAATATTGGCATTTAAGTAGAACTGAATTGGCTGCGCTGTTAAATAAAGCTTTAAGCAATTCATTGGGAAGAGGTGCCAAAAGTAATTTGTTCTTGCATTGCGTGCGGCCTTAATGGCAGCGTGTTCGCCTCTTTTTATGCGATATGCGCCCCACCTGCACAACACACAAATATTAAATTTGAAAAGCTCCACAATTATATCTATTAACCTGTTATTAATGCCTTTACTCTTTTATTCCCTAACAGGCCAAGACCACCAAGAAAATTGTGCTGCGTATGGAATGCACTGATTGCAAATACCGCAAGCAAACACCCCTGAAGCGTTGCAAGCACTTCGAGCTGGGCGGCGACAAGAAGCGCAAGGGACAGATGATTCAGTTCTAAGCTTCCAGGATTTGTAATAGCCCGCTACCTTTTGATAATGAAGTGTTTTTAAGTTTTCATCGACTGTTTTGCCATGTCCGGCAACAAGTGAGAAAATAAAACAAATTGTAGAAGTACATTTTACCAATTGTATTATTTAAAAGTGTAGCATTTCATGCTCATGCTATATCACAATATATGCTGTTCAGGACAATATTCCGCTTTTTATTCCAGAATGCCATCCTCGAGCATAAAGTCGGGTTTACTGCAAATTAACATAGTTTTAGCTAAGGAGAAATAATTTTTGTTGTGTCAACCTACTCTAGCATTTCAGAATCCAGTCCTTCCGTGCTCATTTTTATTTTAACCGCGGGCGCTGGTACACCTACTTGCAGCATTTTGAAGTATTTCTTGTAACGAATATCTTCACACACCCGAACGCCTTTTATTTCTGCGGGTGGTTCTACTTCTGGCTTATCGGTTGCGTTTGTTGTAGCCTCAGTATTTGCTTCAGACGTTGTGGTGGAATTATCTACTTCCTTATCCACCGGTATAGATGCAAGCTTCGTTTCTAGGATTATTAAAGCAGCTTCAGTTCGTTGAAGCTGTCGCTCCATTCGCACGAATTTGGTCTCGCAATTCAAGGCAAATTCATTGAGAAAATTGCAGGTACTTAGTAAGAAGTGATTAACAAAAGCGAGTATACGCTTTTGATTTAGCGGTGGTATCTGCGTTTTGTCCACGTCCCCGGTAAATGCTGCGCTTGCTTCCATTATTATTATTATTATTAATTGTATTTATGTCGATAACTAACTTGGTATGTGACGCTTTCGATGACGTTAGATAATGCTATCGATTACCCACCACACTATATGCAGTGCTTTAAGCGTACAAATAGTGCTGTAAAAGATCGTTAACGTATTTTTTGATTGCTTTTAAATATTTTATTTATTCATTTTTATTATATCTTAACATGAAGTGTGTGAGTTTTCTTTGTTATTTTTTCTTGTTCTTGTTGTTTAAGTATCATGTATGGTGTTTGTTTTTGATGTATTATAAAA